AACAACGCACGCACACACACACACACACAGGCACACACACACAGCACACACACACACACACACACACACACACACACACACACACACACACACCACTCCTGGCTGCAGCTGCTGCCGCGCCTCTGGACCGCGCTCGACGAGCCGCAGCTCGGGGTACACCACGCACACACAACCAAACTACACACCACACACACACACACGCCCACCAAACCAAACACCACACAAGCACACAACCACTAAATAAAATTGAAAATATATATTTGAAATGTTGTCCTCAGACGATAATGAACGAAATTGTACCATTCATAATATCGGGCATACATGTGGTTCAACGCGACCAACCGCTCAGCGCTCTAAACACGTTCATCGAAGCATTGGCACGATGCAATCCGCCTATTAGCATCAAACCGTAAGTAAAACCTAATATATGTTATTACCCCTATGTAAATATATATATATATATATATATATAACATATGTATATGTTACATGTATATTTATAACAGCCCATATCACTGTAACAGAAAAAGTAGTACATTTGCATGTGAAAAACAAATTCATAAGTTTTTGTTAAGAATTGAATTGTGTATTTAATAACTCTGGACAAGCAACACAGCACAATATGGACTATATTGATTATTATTGCAAGCTGAGAACAGTTTATACTATGTATACTAGACAACTGATATAAATATATTTTTTAAATACATGTAATATACATATATGAAACAATGGAACTGGGCCGCTAGTTCGTTAATAATAACCATCTCTCCTGAGAAATATTCAAGTCAATCAATAATAAAATAAAATTTAACAATGATAATTTATATTTAAAATAATCACGACAGCGTTAGGCGGTATTCTAATATATTTTCACTTAATTTCCATTTCTCCACCAGGCCTATGATGAAATATTTGGGCAAGACACACAATCTTTGGCACCGTATGACATTAAACCTCGAGCAGATGGCCATTGACCAGGCCAGTGGGCGCGCCCAACGAGAACCCGCCGAAATATATGATTATGAAGTTGAAACCACCACACCCACTGTACGTATTTTCATTATTTTTTATACATTGGGATTGTATATCAAGTTGAAAGTTAGGTGGAATAGTCCTTAAACTGCTGAACCGTTTTTAACGACAACAAGAAACAAAGTAGAAATCTGAAAATATATAATGGTCTTAGAAAAGGTTTCAGAGTTTCCTATGTCACTTTGGGAAACATCGTTTCGGGTTCGGTAACATCAATATCACTCGCATATTAATTATACATAATATGTACGGTATTTTATTTCTCTTGGTTACACATTTGTATATATTTTCAGGAAATTTTAGACTCATTAAGCGACATGTATGAACTGTTACAAGAAGAGGACATGTGGTCGGGATTATGGCAAAAACATGCACGATATCGTGAAACCAATGTCGCTATTGCTTACGAACAACAAGGCTTTTTCGAGCAAGCGCAGGTAAAATATATCTTAAATTATTAATGAAAATTACAGGTCATTTACTTACTACTTATAAGCAACTTGTATATCTGAATAATTTAGAAACTATTATTAGAACCATTATCAGTTGGCAGTATGTTCTCTTTCTAAAATAGCATACTTATGGAGCTTGTTACTTAAGGATGAGTGATAATTAACGTGAAAGAAATCACAGCACAATAATATGTATTAAATATTCTTTATTGCATTTGCAGAATTGTTTAAGTTACAGAATAGAGTATGCGTCATATCCTTATAGCATATCTCGTATGGGATCCTGCATACACATACTATGTTATCCACTTCAAAATGTTATATAACTTTAACTCTAAATGTATAATTTTTTATCAAACAATATAATAATATTTACTTGTCTTGTTCAATAAAATATGTACATTATATATGCAGGCTGCGTACGACGTCGCTATGGCTAGACTAAAACAGGAGTATGCGGCTAATCCCACTTACAATATGCACAAAGAATGCAATCTATGGACTCAGCATTGGCTCAAGTGCGCAAAGGAATTGAATCAGTGGGATTCATTGCTAGATTTGGGGTTAAACAGGAGTGCACGAGATCCGTTCCTTATTCTGGAGAGTTCCTGGAGAAATCCCAACTGGCCAACAATGAAGGAAGCACTCGCTGAGGTTGAATACAATTGCCCTAAGGAATTAGGTAATAAATTTTTTACATTTCTTAATTTCTCTTCTATACAGATCAATGCTGTATTTGTTGTGCTTAAAGTAAAAACCTTAAAAAGGATTTACTTTCTTATTACTTCGTGCCTGGATAGTTCGTACAAATAGTTCACATGCCTGTGCATTTAGGATGTTTAATTTCAGTAGTAGAAAGAATTACTATAAATGATGTAGCCTATTTAAATTTATTTCTCAAAGAACTGTATATGATAATGAAATAAATAAAGTTAATATTTGTAAGTATATGTTTGTAGTAAGTACTTAAATTTCCTTAACTTAAAACACATTCTCGTTTTTATTAAAATTTTGCACATTCACAGTTATTGTGGGTAGAGTCCGATTCGTCTTCAGCGGTACTTATTAGGTGCATTTACACAACATATTCTTTCATGCTCGATCAGGAACTAGCTAGAAAGCCAGCTCTCGCATTGCTTGCATTTAACGATTTCTTTTGTTTACTCTTTTGCACGACATATTTTCTTATATCACAGTATTAAATTTAAAAATTATAATGTTTTTGCGCAATAGTCAGATATTCGCTATTCGGAATGTCAATAAATAAAAAAGGCGCTGAAGCACGAACGAACGCTTTAACTGAAGACGCGCGCGGTCTTACTCGTTCTTTCGTGTATATTTACATGTACATTGTTTCCTGCGTGAAAGCCTATTCGCACGTGAAAGAGCGTTCGTGTAAAGACAGGTGTTGTGTGTGCGCGCAGCGTGGCTGGTGAACCTGTACCGCGGGTACCTGTGCATCTGCGCGGGCGGCGAGCAGCAGCTGGGCGGCGTGGAGCGCCACGCGGAGGCGGCGGCGGCGCAGTGTCTGCGCGAGTGGCGCCGCCTGCCGCGCCTAGTCTCGCACGCGCACCTCCCGCTGCTGCGAGCCGCGCACCAGCTCATGGAGCTCAGCGAGGCTGCGCAGATACACACGGTCCGTACTCTTACTCTATTCTCTCTTTCTTACGCTTTCACCACTTTACTCTCTTCCACATGTACTAATTCCTACCGACGTTACACGTAACCATTCTGTGTTGGTTCTTAAAACGCACCAGATGGTTCTAAGTTTAGCTATGTGTCTGCTCCATTTGAGCAAAGTACAGGATTTTGTAAACATCCATAATAATAATATCCCTAGATACACAGTGCCATCTAATGCTAAGTTAAGCAGAGCCTATGTTATTGGTACTAGACAACTGATATAAAAACAGATACTTTTTTTGTAAGTACATACATATTATACATATATAGAGAACACCCAGTCAATATAACTCAATTCATCGTGGTAGTTGAATTACATTAACAACGCGCTTACGAATGAATTAAGTATATTTTTTATTCCTTGCATATCCGCAATCAGTATGTTTACTATAATCAGATCGGTTGGCAGATGACGATACGAGTCTGTAGTCTATTTTGAGCATGTCCTAGCGAGCTCCTCTTTTATTATGGGTAAATACGAGAAATGATGGATTTCCGAGTCGGTTATAAACCATGGTGGCTTAAAAATATTCTTGAAATGCAATTAAATAAAGTGATTTAAACTGTGTCGTTCTACAGGGCCTCCTGCACAGTCGGCCGACGTCGCTGCACGACATGAAGGCGATAGTGAAGACGTGGCGCAACCGGCTGCCCGTGGTGGCGGACCCGCTGTCGCACTGGGGGGCGATCTTCACGTGGCGCCAGCATCACTACCAGTTCATTGCGTCCCACTACGACTCGCAGACCGAGCACGCCTCGCACCCCAGCATGCTCGGAGTGCATGCCAGTGCACAGGTTATATGCCATAATTATTATATGTGATTAAAATAGTAAATTCGTCGGCTCATTGAGTAGGATTATTGGTAAATATTGCAAATATTATGTTATATTTGTCATTGTTACTGTTCCAGAGGATAAAGGTATGTCAATAAATGGGTTAAAAATACATACGCAAATAAAGTATTACACGGTCTACCTTCATATAAGATTTATAATTTATTTTTTCTCTTAATTTTTTAATCAGAACATGCATCTTAAGTGCATACACTTTTGAATCAAAATATAGTTTAGTTTGAATGACAATATCAATTGTTTAGACATGGTTTTGCATATACATGTTTTTTTTCAGGCGATAATACATTTCGCGAAAATCGCACGAAAACACAACTTATCAGGCGTATGCCTTGACTCTCTCCATCGCATTTATACGATACCTAGTGTTCCTATAGTGGACTGCTTCCAAAAGATCAGACAGCAGGTCAAGTGTCACATTCAGATGTCCTGGACGGAAGGGAAAGAGGAACTGCAAGAAGGCTTGGACATGATCGAGTCGACAAACTTTAAATACTTCACGAAGGAGATGACTGCTGAGTTTTACGCGTTTAAAGGACTCCTTCTAGCGCAACTCGGACGTTCAGAAGAAGCTAATAAAGCGTTCGCAGCAGCAGTTCAATTGCACGATACACTGGTGAAAGCATGGGCACTTTGGGGCGACTATCTGGAACAGATATTCATACGAGAGCCGCGTCAGATCACCGTCGGTGTGTCGGCCATGACATGCTTCCTGCACGCTTGTCGTCACCAGAACGAGTCCAAGTCTCGTAAATATTGTGCTAAGGTATTTTAAGTTATTTCTAGTAGTTGTTTAGATTATATTATTAATTGTACTGATATCATAAAGAGGATTTTTTATGGTATGTTTCTTCATCTTTATCACATAGTATAAAACAAACTCGTCGCCGGTGTCCGTTCACTTATATATCAATTTTCAGCAATAGATAGTGATTCATAAGGAAGGTTTATATGTATAATAGGGCTCGCTAGCTACAGATAATATAAAAAAAAATCTGGAGATATTTAAAACATAATTTAATTTCAAAATACTTTCACCTATAGAAAGCTACATTATTAGAATGTAATGCCCTATACCAACTCCACGCGGGCATCGCCGTACAGTAAAGCTGGTGTAATAATAAATTTATAATATTAATTATAGTATATTGGGTATTATCAACGTTTACAGCTCATTTTGAGTAATATGAGTGTTTAGCGAATGGATTAATATCAGGATTGGAAATGCTACATAGAGTCAATGTAATGGCGCGGATAGAAATATTAAACTATCTATTAATCTAAACTGCTATAATAAATGTGTGTGGTAACATTGCAGGTTCTGTGGATGCTGAGCTATGATAGTGAAAACAAATTGGCAGAGGCTCTGGACAAGTACTCGGTGGGCGTGCCGCCCGTGCAGTGGCTACCTTGGATACCGCAGCTGCTCGCCTGCCTCGTGCAGTACGACGGGAACGTCATACTCAATCTGCTCAGCCATGTATGCCCGACCACTTTCACATAATACCTTAGGACGATTCACACAGCAACATTTAGTCCCCAAGATAAGCAGGGCATGTGTTATGGATAGACAACTGATATAATAAATATATATAATTTGTTTTGTAAATACATACATAATATAAACAATAAACACCCAAGCCGATACAAATATGAGAATGATACTCAAAAATACAAATGTCTGTACCGTGCGAGGACTGCGTCTTTTTTTATTTCTTATATAACAGGGGTTATTATATTATTTCTATTCGGAAAACAAAGCCTGTTTCTGATTGTTTGGTCAGTATCTCTAATTTTCAATAGACTCAAATACCATCCTCATCATCTGGCATGACAGTCCTCGATTGTAAGTTTTTACAGAAACTTGAGGCCCACATCCACATTGTGGTATCAGTTCAGCAATTCTATTTCCTAACTCTTACAATATTGTAACCTTCAAAAATAGATCTTATATCTTCTTAAAAGGCCGGCAACGCACTTTACAATTCCTCTGATGTTTCGGTTGTTCATTGGCGGCGGTTATCATTTACCATCCTTGACCTGCATGGTCATGCTTATAAAACTCCTAAATGGACTCCCAACTTTCGCATAATAAGTTTAGAATATGATTGGGTATAACAGAAAGGGTAAATCGCTGTAACAACCTGGTATGACTATAGTCTTTATTCAACACAGGATAATTGTCTCAGAGAGTAGAAATTAATAAAATCGAGTAATATGTTAGCTTATCTCTTTTGGTAAAAGTCATTCTTGTTCTTTACTTCCTCTATTTTAGGTATATTGTACACATTCGGTAATACCTATACTGTATCTGTTGCAGGTCGGCCGACTGTATCCACAAGCTGTATACTTCCCAATCAGAACACTATACCTGACATTGAAGATAGAACAACGCGAAAGGCACAAGACTGCTGAAAATATCGCTGCACACATTCCACATCAACCGGCCACGACGGCCGTAAGTATAAAATTATTTACAATTAGAAGTTTCTTTTAACTTTACAATAATGCTCTGTAGCAGTTTGACTAGGTAGTAAATAATTTAGCAATTTTTTACATAGTATAAAACAAAGTCACTCCCGTTGTTTGTACGCTTAGATCTTTTAAACTATGCAAGGAATTCTAATGCACTTTTAGGCAATAGATAGAGTGATACAAACGGAGGTTTATCTATACGAGTATAATACAGGTACACCTGTGCAAAGCCAGGACTGGCAGCCAATATTGTAGTCTTGGCATTATATTATTTTATTTGCAATTCTTATATATGTATACATTTAGCCCTCGATAATAGTAGTTAAATAAAACTTATTAATGACAATACAATTATTTTTAATAATGCATACTTACTTGCATTTATTAAACATGCTATATTTTATAACTAGTAGACAATTATTTGTCTATTATTTAGTCACACGTTGCTGTGGCTAATACAATATAAATAATTTGCAATAAAATAATATTGCGACTATAAATTGAGATGTAAGCTATCCTATCTTTCAAGTTGATCAAATTGCACACAATATGCAAATCAAATTTGCAATCGGTTCAGTAGTTTAGAAGTCCGTCCATCGCGGACAAAATTTTTATGCATAAATATTCTCAAACTCTAGAGATATTAAGTATAAGTGAAATCCATTTGCAGGGCATATATTGTTGATTTTATATAATTGGAATTTTTACACAGGCTGGCGCCAAGGTGGAAAGTGCATCGTCATCGAGCAGCGGATCTACAAGCGCTGAGACGGGTCCCATTAAAGCGACCATGCCAATGTGGCGCTGCTCGAAGATCATGCAACTACAGAGGGAGATACACCCCACCGTGCTCTCCTCACTCGAGGGCATTGTCGATCAGGTACAGTAATACTTAATAAGGTATAGTTAATACTCAGGTATAGTAAACTTAATAATTTTTTACTACTCAGGTTCCTAAGGTACTCAAGGTTAATAATTTAGTGCACTCCATATATACCAAAATTTAAATAATGTGTCGATTGAATAAAAGCTATTATGTCTTTGAATATTAGCTCACTTTTTTTAAATTATACATTGAATTTTATCGCTATTTGGATAATAATTTCCTTCAATTTATATAATAAATTCTATTTAAACTTAGAATACAAGATTTTGGACTCTGGTTTTTAACTATTTCTGCTACATCAGGCTCTTTGTAATCTTTAGTTTAAAGGATACTGAGATATACAGTGAACTTACAGGGTATGAAGGCGTCATGCCTAATCTTAGTTAAAATGGTCACTCGTAAGAGTTACAATAGATTTTGAGGTGTCTGTAATGCTCTAGTTTTCTTAATGTATCAAGTTCAACAATTTGATGATTGTTTGCCGTCTCAGTAACATAAAAAACGTCTACAAAACTATAATAATGTACCAGTTGAATGTTCTTAATGATTGTTGAAGGATGAAGGATTGTTAAGTCGACCTCCAAGCGGTCCCTGGAAACCAACGTCGTTAATTTCTTGTAAATTCGCCATGATGGGCAAATCTTACAATGGTGCTCTGGTGCCAGTGTAAACGGTTAGCGCAGGGAGGTCCAATAATTCGTCATCATCCTTCTACTTAGTTAGCTCGCTATATTGGATGGTAGTGATAGAGAAAAAAATATTACGTGCATATTAGCTGAAAATGCTTTCCGTATTAATTTTGAATTTGACTATAATTACCAATTGTAATATTGTACTGGTGTGCAGATGGTATGGTTCCGCGAGAATTGGTACGAGGAGGTTCTGCGTCAGCTGCGTGCCGGGCTGGCCAAGTGTCACGTGGTGGCATTCCACCATCACGCTGCCGTCGCGGACGCCACCGTCACACCACATACGCTCAACTTCATCAAGAAGCTGGTCTCCACATTCGGCATAGGCATCGGGATAAGTAAGTACTGTTTGATGTACTATCATCATATTTAATTTATCAACGTTCATACATTCCATGATTGAATCAATAGTATGATTTTCGCGTTTTTTAATCGTAGTCGTAAAGAATTCTATAATGTCATTTATTTATTTATTTCATTATCATCATATGTTCTCTCAAAATTCAATTATTACCTTCATACACATACATATATTTAAATAAACCTTCTGAATCTATTAGAGTCTTACAATAAAATCCGATAATAAATGAGATATATGCATGTTTACAAATTTATGTGATTTTAATTTGATCCCAAAATTGAATCATGCTCTGAGATATTATAAATTAATACTATACCGAGGATTTTTTATGTAAGAGAAAAAATTAAATAAATGCTCGTCTTATCAGCCAGTAACTGTAGCTATTTTTAATTTACAACTAAATTACAGATTCTACAATAATTGCATCTGTTTGAAAAGACGGGGCGCTATAGTTCTAAAATAATTTAAACAACACAGTCTATATCAAATGTAAAGATTACCTTTTTTGCATTTATTTGTTAATCCTAATAATAACCGGGTAATAATAAACGGGTTTCTATCATCTATTTAAACTTATAGGGTAGGTGGAAATAACCAGGCGCAGAAATATCCAATCCCACAGTTCTTTCTTCTTTCATTTTAATAACTCTTTTCAGTTGTACACGTCGTTATTGAGTAAGTATTAGATCTTATCATGATGGGTCAGTTTGGGCCTCTCGAGGACACTCATAGATATATATAATTTTTCAACTGGGATGTATCTTAACGCTATATGTAACTGGGTATTAATCTATGGTATATACTTAAACAAGGTGAAAGTTACGTTTCATAATTATGATAACATTCTAACAATCAATTGCTGTGCGGTCTTTATAATTATTTTTTTTCAGGTTAAAAGAAATGTTGATTCAGGAATGCAATCTACGATATTTCCTGCCATACGCGAGCGTTATTTCATACCCATACTCCATTTTGTATGTCTACAGAAAGTGTTTCAAGTTCTGTAAGTGGTGCATTCTCTTCAGCTGCATCGGAGAGTCTGGCTCGTCGCGCGCAGGCCACGGTGCAAGATCCTGTCTTCCAGAAGATGAAGACCCAGTTCACCGCTGACTTCGACTTCACACAACCCAATGCTATGAAGTTACAAAATCTCATACAAAAATTAAGGAAATGGGTGAAGATCCTCGAGGCCAAAACAAAGGTTCTGCCCAAGTAAGTAGTTATTGAGACCTGCGAACCCCTGCGAGGTAAATACGATGACCTATTATAGCATTTGTGCCGTCCATTTCACGTTTAGAGTAGTGTCACACTTAGTATAACTTCATATGATTCACATGCTTCTTAATAACTAGTTTATTAATCACTTGTAGTGCTTCATTTACTAACCTCTATGCTGGCCGTTTTTATTTTACAAAAAAAATAATTTCGATTATTTATTATTTCAGATCGTTCCTTATCGAAGAGAAATGTAGATTCTTATCGAACTTCAGTCTAAAGACGGCCGAGGTAGAATTACCCGGGGAGTTCTTACTGCCTAAGCATACGCACTACCACGTGCGTATCGCGCGATTCATGCCGCGGGTTGAGATTGTCCAGAAGCACAATACCTCCGCACGCAGGCTGTATATCCGCGGTCACAACGGGAAAATATATCCCTACTTAGTGGTTAACGATTCTGGCCTCGGAGATGCGAGAAGGGAGGAGCGCGTCCTTCAACTACTCAGAATGCTGAACCATTACTTGGGCAAACAGAAAGAGACGTCTAGAAGGTTCCTCCACTTCACGGTCCCGCGCGTCGTGTCGGTGTCGCCACAGATGCGGCTCGTTGAAGACAACCCGAGCTCGATATCTCTATTAGATATCTATCGCACAGAATGTGCTAATAGGTATGTCTTTCAGGAACTGTATGCTACTCATTATTAGTATTTATGTACTCATAAATTGACTCACAATTGTATTTTTAACAATTACATACCGCATGATACGGTATACATATTACATATGTCGTGTACTTACTTTCAGTTATTGTAATAAATGAATTTACGATGTGGCAAGCAAATATAAATAAATAAAAACCCTATTTTCGTTTTCGTAAAGTTATCTTAATTATTCTTGTTATTTTTTTAATTTATTAAATTGTTGTGTATGTGTGATAGGGGTGTTGAATACGACGCTCCCGTGGCGCGCTACTACGAGCGATTGGCCGCCGTGCAGGCGAGGGGGACCCAGGCCTCGCACCAAGTACTCAGAGACATACTGCGAGAGGTAAACACACATCCATATACAGTTATAGCAGTGTATCCCAACCTTATCTACGTATTGCCCCACATTAGCCTTTTTATTTATTATTATTAGCGTTCTTATGTAACATACATAATATGACAAAATTTAATAGTTCATTTAAAAGAAATCACTAGGATATTGTTAACGAAATAGTAAATGTAGCATGTAAATGTTGGATTTCTATATAAAAATTGTACAAAGATTTTGTAACAGTAAGTATATTTTCAAAACACACATATAATGGAGAACTGAAATTAAAATTACAAATGGTTTAAATAAACATTGTATTGTTCTATATTAATTTAGTGATGAAACCCTTATTTAAGCACCGAAATCTATTGTTGCATTTAAATGACCCGGAACGGAAGGCACTTGTGGCGAGCCCATTTTCGCATGATTCCCACGTTGGAAAACACTGGAGTTATAAATTTATTTAGTTTGCATTTTATTTATATTGTTTCTCGTTTTGCATGTAGAATATTTGTAACAACATTATTATTGTAAATTAGTATAATAATAATTTAAATCAAATGTTGGAAAGGAAATTGATCTAAATCAAAGATTACAATGTGACAGGTCCAAGCTACCATGGTACCAAAGGGCATGGTACGCGAATGGGCGGCGGCGACATTCGCCGCGCCCACCGATTACTGGACCTTTAGGAAAATGCTGACACTGCAGCTGTCTCTGGTGAGCTTCGCGGAGTACGTGTTGCACCTCACCCGCCTCAACCCCGACATGATGTACGTGCACCAGGACTCCGGTCTACTCAACGTTTCTTACTTCAAATTTGATGTCGACGATACTACAGGTAATTTTTTCATATTCATGTTATATTAATTAATAATTTAAGAGCCTCTAAATTTATATTCGTTCCTATTTATTTACCCGTCCTGATTCGCGTCTATTGAGCCGCGCTCTTGTCGGTGGAGCTCTTGCTATTTATCTTAACATATTACATATATAGAATGTCAATATTTTAAAACCTAGGTTGTTTCGTGGTTTTGTACATTGATTGACTTCCGATAGTCGCGGGTTTGATTCTTGCGTGATACAAGTATTTGTATTAATGAGTTTATATTTGTGTGTTAAGTATATTAACGAGTTAAGTATATTAAAGTACCCATGGTACAAACTTGACTCAGTTTGGGACTAGGTTTTGTTTTTATTGTGTTCGTCAAATTGTATATGATTATAATAATATAATTATAATCATATACAATTGACGAACTTAGTTATCTATTTTTTGTAAGGGTGAAATGACTTTAATATCGTGAAGGATTTTATTGCGTTAACACTTAATAATGGTGAACTTTATTTCTCACATTATTTTTATTTACTCATCTTAATTTTTTGAGTTTCATAGTATAAAATGAGTAGAATACAGTAGTGTAAAAATAACAATATAACAATTTGATGACAATGGAAGTAAACAAGGCTTCCATAGTTCAAGTTATTTAAATTTCTATAGATGAAACAATGGAAAATATTGTACTTGTCTGTATTTTTTACGTTAAAATAAAATTGTATGCTGTTTATGTGCTTACATTACTTATCTTAAAAACATTGTTAGTTTGCTACCTGTTATCTTCTTATATATAAAATTCACGTGTCACAATGAGAGTTACCATACGAGGAGTATGGTAACCAAACGGTTTGATCGATTTTTATGTAATTTTATATGTATATACAGTAGGTCTGAGAATCGGCTAATATCTTTTTTTTATACCCCTAAGTGATAAGGGTTGTCCACCCCTAACATTATTTTTTTATTTTTGGGCAAAATTTTTTATTTATATTTTTTATTATGTGTCATTAAAAATACATACAACCTTAAATTTTCACCCTTCTATTCACCAACCCCTATTTTTTATAGCGTTAGTAATTTATATGGCAAAACATCGTTTGCCGGGTCAGCTAGTTTTTTATAAAAATATGTAACAGTTTTTATTGCTTTAGTATGTATGTTGCTTTTTGCAGGCTTATATTTTTTAATTGTTAATATATGCATTAGGTTATTTGAAGCTTACAGTTTTTGTGATATGCTGAAGTCCTTACATCTGAATTGAAGTTATCTTACTTATATCTTACTAATATTATGAACGCGGAAGTTTGTAAGTATGAATGGATAGATGGGTGTTTGTTACTCTTTCACGCAAAAATTACTTAGCGTATTTTGTTGAAACTTTACAGTAATATAGCTTATACATTAGAATAACACATATACGGTAATAATTTTAAAAGATGGTATGTCAATTGGGCTAAATGTAATGATAAATGTGAAGTAGTAAGTGTGATGCAGATGAAGTTGCGCGGGTCAGCTAGTACATTATATATTGTTGATTGTCTGAGTGTTTAATAATTTTTAGGTAATATAATAGATTTTGTTATTAATTCCATTTATTATATTTAGGCGAATTGGATGGTAACCGGCCGGTACCATTCCGACTGACTCCCAATATTTCGGAACTATTGACGAATATCGGCATCACAGGACCTCTCACTGCGTCGGCCATTGCTGTAGCTCGTTGCCTCGTTACGCCCAATTTCAAGGTATATATACTTATGACTACAATGCACTTTAAACGATAAGTTGAGTTTTATTTAACATCGATTGGTTTACGTGATATAACATTTTTCTTATAAAGAGTCTTCTTATAAGACTGTTATCACAATAAACGAACTTAATTTCGCGAGGTATAGAATCTGATTCACGTTATTCTGACATCTAAATATTTGCAGATCCAGTCTATATTACGCACAATCCTTCGCGACGAAATGGTGACCGGTTACCGTAAGCGACTGGAGGACAAGTCAGGAATACCCACTGCTGGCTCCTCAACGGAAAACAAATCTACAGAAATAGATAACGACACTGTTATAAATATGGTGAATAAGGCGGTGACTGTGATTATGAGTCGGCTCAACTCGCTGGCCGGTTTCGATGGACCCGATAGTAAAGTGGCGACCCTGGTCACGGCGGCCAACAACCACGACAACTTGTGTCGTATGGACCCCGCCTGGCACCCGTGGTTGTAAATATTTCGGAATATTCACCTGACATGTAGTACAACACATGAATGTATCATTTCTTCGTTGACTGTTAAAATAAGTTTCAAGTAACGAAGTGAGAAATGGTAAATATTAAATGTTGTATTATTTTAATTACAGTTTAGCTTTTATTAATTACACATTGCTGTACGACTGATGTATTGTTGATTATAAATGAAATATTACTCTGTGCTTTATCTTAAGATTATTGATATTTTATACATTAAGTTACATTTTTAATATAGTACTAATAATGTTCATGATGACATTGTTATGTATTCTTTTTTTGTATAAGGATTTGACACCGCAGGTGTGACTGAAAAGAATAATCAATAATTATTTTTGATTAACTGTGGACTCCTACGGAATTATTTTAATTTCGAGTTAAGCAAATATTTGTCAAGTGAACACATATACACTTGTGAAATTATCATCCTTGTATGTGAAAAATAAATTTTGATAACAAATATATGTGATCGCTCCGTTTTATTATCCCAACGGTAATTTATGTATGGTTCGCATTGAGTGCAGCACTAATTGCATGTGTGGCCGCAATGTAACTGCAATACTGCACAGGTGAAAGTACTGGAGCGGTATCGTCAAGTGTAACGCGGGGTGCGACCAACCGGCGGGGAACTGCCGCGCACCGTACACCAATCTCGCTCTACAACTAGAGATAGTAAAACTGATTCCATCACGCTAACAATGGGAAAGAAAGTGCAATAATTGTAGGATGCAGAGGAACTGTTTCTACATTCATTGGAGCTTCACAAGCTTCGCTACATTATTGTATAACGTAGCAAATATAATACTTGCTTAAACATAATTTTCTTTGCTTAGGTATCACGTTTTATTTATCTTTACATGTAGTTTGCTTATAGTAATTGTATTTCAATTTGTTTATATAGAAACCAGTATATATTTACATCTGTTTACTACATTACATTACTGTAATGTGTTATTTGAGTACAAAATATGTATTTTTTTATTATCAAATGACGGTAAATTTCTCTATTAATCATTTATTTAGATTTTCTTATTATTAATGCTCGTGTATTGCAGCTATTTTTTAAGGGCACAAATATATAAGTACCAGGTACGTATTACATTAAATCACGTCATTGCTATCTTCGCTCTTATATTATCAGAGTTCTATTGGTGGCGTGATGATAAATAGAGATAAACATAATTGATTAGAAATTGAAACACGTAGCTGTTGTTTACTTTTACCGGGAAATATAATAGTAATGTATATTAAGTGAAATTATTTTTAATTGGCATAACATTTACCATAATATGTCGTAAGTCATATAGCAATAAATAATTAACTAAAGTTTAATCAAATACTGGAAGTATTTGTTAAGTACTCAATCCCAACTTTGTTTCTTTATTTATCTCCAGATAAGAATTGATTTATGTCTAACTTTTGATCATCAAAATATACATTATAAGATTAAAATATAAATAATATCTCTACATATTATAAAACTAAGAAAACGCCTCGCGATAATCACAGAAGCTACTCAACAGATTTTCATGTGGTTTTCATACATCGACAGACTTATCTTTGCTTTATAATTCATCATTGCTGTTTGTTTTTATAAATGAATTGTAATATGATTTCGAAGCTAGGGCGGGTAGCTAGGTGAGCTATAATTTATAATGGTGCTTGCAATGCACCTACCTTTTCATTCCACTAAATTCACAGAGATATGTAAAGTACATTACAAAATATTATTTATATAGAAAATGTAGACATTTTTTTATAGTTTGATTTTCAAATACAGAATACATACTTTTACTATAGATATATAACTTTATATATTTTAATACTTTTTTAGTAAAACCTGAAGGTCTAATGGCAGCCTGTGCCTAAAGTTAGTTTGAATTAAAACACAAATAATAATACTTAAGTCAATTTATAATACTTTTTTTTTGTGTGTTATAAATGGATTTAGATATATATGTGTCTATTATCTCAGGGTATCCTTTAACTTAATAGAGAAATTAAAACGTTTCCATTTTTCTTAGTTTTTAACTGTATACCAGTTTCTTATTTATTTAACTAACATTTAATTTCTAAACTTTGGTTCCCACCGTCAGTCGTGAGAAGATTTGTGTAGAACCAGAATTAGTACATTATTTGTTGCAAAAACAATCATAGAAATCGAAGTTTAGAATAGATTTGAAGACCTTAGAGAGACATAAAACTTACGTAGAACGATCTACTCCGCTCCTCCCGTTACCTGAAATTGATAATCGTTAAGGCGTCGCCTAACCTAAACATGAATCACGGCCATCGGCATTATTTGTGAACCCCGTGGATGCATTCTGCACCATTCTCTCATGCATTTCCTTTTCTGATACAGGCATAACTCTACGATCGGATTGTATTTCTTACAGAATTAATATTAACTTATCGGTATTTTAAGTTGTTAATAAACTTTAAAAAGTATTTCGCATTTTGCAAATACTAAATGCTTCTGGTTTTGGTTCATTTTTTTATAAAAGATTATATTTAAATACAGAATCGAAATAGGTAAGTTGCATTTATTTCAAATATGTATGTATATACTTTTAGTTAAAAAAAAACTTCATTATACGAATATAAACGGTCGATTCCATTGCACCATACATTTATTATTTTTTCTGAAAGGAAACAATAATCTAATAAATTATGTCCGAATTAAGAAATATATTCACAACTGACATTTTAACACTTCGGGCCGCATTTAATATAACAAGGAGTGACCTTACTACTCTCTTGACAATTAAGATTAAGCTTGTTGATGACTATAGAATCACGAGAATATTTCTATTTACTGAACACTGTAACTAAACCTAATAGGTATCCACTATTATATTTGTTTCAATTTTAAAATATTCATGGGTTGGGTTATTTTATTCCCTTTTTAAAATGATTTTGACGACAGTGTTTTTGTTTTCGAGTTCCATGGTTATGTTTACGTGTCACACAGACGTATATAGTGATTCATAAAATCGTTTTAGTGGATACGAATCTTGCTGACTTATTTGGTTGTTTAATATATTACCGTACACTCACTCAGAGAGTGTAATATGGATAAAAAGATTCGTGTTATATAGCATCGTGTCGGAGATTTCGTCGTGTTCGTATTAAAGTATTTTGCGTAACATCGCTTTGGGAGTTCGCAGACGTCGTAGGTATTATGGATTGTTATATGGAGGTCTGTTGGTATTGTCAAAATAGTAGGCGGCGTCGCGTTGCTAGGCGGCGCGCGGTGTGCGGCGTGCGGCGGCGGTGGAGGCGGCGGCGGCGGCGGCGTCGTCGGCGACGTGGCCGCGGCTGGCGCGCGCCGCCCGCCGTCCGCTCCCCGCCACCGCTCGCGACTCGCGGCTCGCCCGCTCGTTCGTACTTCGCGTCGGACCTGAGTACGTACTCAGTCCGCTCCGCGGCGTCCCCTTGTACGCTGGTGTGTCGCGTACACCCCTCGCTCGGCCGTTAAGTGTCCGACCTCTGTAACCGACGGTTTATGACATTCGACAACCCCGCCCTGTGGATTTTTCTCAGTTGCATTTCGATCGGTCCGAGGAGTGTGTCGGCCGCGGACGATACACGTCGGTGTCGGTGGCCCGCGTTTATTTATGTTGTCGTTTTGGTGTGGTGAATATTTGTGTTGTACGGACGATAACCGTATTATCTGTGCGATCGAGTCGAGTGGATATTTTTAACGATCGACGTCTATTTGCGAAGGTGAGTGAAATCCACGATTCCACAAATAGTGCCCCTCTGGATGGGACGTCGAATTCCCTCTCTACGTGGCGCCCGTGTTGCCTGCTATAGGTACATTCCAGTATGATCTACGTGTTACGCTCGATCGTAAAAATCTCATCTGAATTGTACCTTTGTCATGTCTAAATTGACATTAAATATTGTCTTGCTTTAAGACAAATGCGATAGAAAACTTCGATTATATTTTTTTAATTTCTAACAATGACGTCATCTTGGTACACAGCATATAAGTCGAATGCTTACGAGCTTAACATATTTTTGTTGGATGGTTATTATTAAAAAACTGATTAGAATCTTATTAGAGTCGGTCCTATCCCACTGTACCATATGGTGGACGGAAGCGAATGGATAAGAAACTGAGTGTAGCGGGCGTCGGCGCGGGGTGGTGCGCGGCCGGGCGGCCGGTTGTGCGACCGCATTCCATATGGAATGCCGGATTATACGCAATGTCAGTGTGACTCGGGGTTTGTGTCACCTCTGTTGCATTGGTCAATGCACATTTGCAACAATGTCCAATCACAATGTACCCATAGGTATTCCACTTGAGAATGTTTGTATTATTAGTCGATTGTTAGGCTGATGGACATGACGGCGCAAGTCTGGAACCTTTGACACCCACAATATTTTATATTTAGAACCAATAATAGATTAATGGTGCGAATACTTCAGTTCGTTTCAGTTTGAATAAATATCAAGGCATTCGTTCGTTTGTATGAAATTAATTTATTTCTGTTTTCTTTTAACCAATTTGTTTATAAATGATCACTATTCATTTGTATATCAGCTGTGATACATACACCCTATATGAGTACCAATACTAATTATCTTTCGTGAACATGACTGTCACAGATGTTACACGAAACATTAGCTAGGCAGTTGCCTAATTAGGTATTACACTTTAGCATTTGGGTTTTTACTGACTGTAATACCTTAAATATCGTTGTTTAGTTCCTAAATCCTTCCTAAAATATTACAAACAGACACTCCAATTTTATTTATATGTATAGATGTATAATCTATACATATAAATAAAATTGGAGTGTCTGTTTGTAATATTGAAATAACCGTGTTTTACTGCATGCATGTGAATATAAATACGGTACATACACCAAAGTAACATTTTTTACAATTTTTGTCTGTCTGTCTGTCTCTTTTTGTTCCGGCTAATCTCTGAAATGGCTGGACCGATTTTGACGGGACTTTTATTGGCAGTTGGCTGATGTAATAAGGAGTAACTTAGGCTACTTTTATTTTAGAAAAATAAAGTTAAATTCCACGCGGAAGAAGTCGCGGGAACAGCTAGTGTACAATAGAAGTATATTATTGGGAATTACAATAAGTATCAATACGTATATAGGGGGATATAATACAGGAGGACATCTTCGTCACAGCCCTGTCGTCCTATCATGGAAGAATTTGTGTTGAACGTTACCTACAAGTATAAAAGAATCCCTTACGATCACTAAAAAGTAAAAGAAAAAAATATATATTCAGAATATAATTTACTGTCTTTAGAATTAAGAAAAACTTGCAAGAAAACTTCAAAAATAGTGATTTTATCCTTAATACTTTTGGGGCAAATTATTTAGTTGAAAAACCCAATATTCTTAAATCGATAGTGTAGATGGTTTCTGATAGCTATAGTTTACTTCATAAATATTCTAGGTGATAGAGGAGTGAACTATTTATTGGAAAAGTCTAAAGTATGTCTATCTATTTAAAGATATAAAATTAAATGAACAAATAACGAACTAACTTTCAAAAATTATATACTACGAACTTCATTCTAATGCTTTTAAAATAATGGTCAATGAAGGTATTATTACTAACTTTGGATGATAACAATAATATGGCTCTGCTGATAATGTAACAATATTGAATTTGTGTCCCCACAGATAATATTGAACATTCTCGACGCACGGGCTGTATAAAACTCACTGTATAGTGTATATGTGTACGTACGAAGCGGACAATATCCGATAGCTTGCATCAGACCGCCACAGATACAATTACCTAGTTAATATTGCTTATTGTGGATCCATATCGTACGAAAGCCGGAAAAAATATAAGAAATAACTAATTGAAACCTTTTTTCGTGAGTGTTTCAAGTACCTAATTAAACAAAATAGGCACTTGTTATTTCTCGTAGAGTAAGACACCACTTGTTTTTTTTTTTGCATTACCGTGCAAAACGGGTATTAATAATACTACTAATAATTTATCAAGTAGCATATCTATGAATAAAATGATATGCCGTGTACAACAAAGTAAAACTAAAAGAATCTTCAAAATCAGTACATTGGTTTCGGTATAAACTGAAACGAAATCGCTTTTGGATACCTACAGGGTCGGGCCGACATTAACACTAATGAATATAGTACAAATGGATATAATTCTAAACTATTCTAATGTTTAGCTAAATAAATACTTATCTTGTGACATTACGCACGATCTCGTATAATGTACTCGATAATGCGTACTATATGTCGAAACGCGTCCGTCGCCGCTTCCGGCGTATGACCTACAATTTAAAACAAACTTTTTGGGTGTATCTAGATATTATTATTACGCATTTGACGACACTATGATAAATGAAATATATGTCAAACAAATCTGGATAATTATCCACATTTTGTTCCTACGAATATTAGTCGATCGTTTTATCGACTAATATTCGTAGGAACAAAATGTGGATAATTATCCAGATTTGTTCTTCAAATTTCACCCGCATATCTAGCCTCGTAACTAGATAGGTGCAACTTCTTTGACTAAACCTGTGCACCGATTTAATATTCCTATAAGTATTATCTAGTTTTATATTTTTCTGCTATTAATATGGACAAGTATAATAATTTAAAAAATGTCGTTATTAAGCCGAAATAACATTAACTGTTCAAAAACAGTGGTAATCAAATAAGTTTGGAACCAAACTAATGTTACACAAAATTGACAATTAGTCGTGTCATTGGCAAGTAAGTATGCCAAGCCAATTTATTGAAAAATAAACAGTGAAATTAATGCTGGAGCGTGTATATTTTATCAGGGCATGTTGAATAAATCGTATTAGAACTTCAGGTAGTCAGGTCTTATGGATGATAGTGTAATAGTGCACCCGCCTGCGATAACGGTTTACGCTGGTGGGGCACCAGTGGAGGACGATAATATGAGCATAAGGTCACGTCACTTAGCCCACCGTGAGTCGTCAGGTAGGTAGTGATTAATCACACACGGCCACTATTGTATAGAGACAGTGACTTCTTAGCTACCTCAAATAAGCACTATATAAAGATATTAAAAAAAATCACACGTGAACAGGAGTTGGAAAGGAATGTACTTGCTCGTAGTCGCGAGTCAAAACTAGTTCGAAATATTTCTAACATTATGCGTGCATCACTAAGCAAATAATTATGATAAATATAATAATTACTTGCTTAGTGATTTTAGTTATCGGATATTTTACAGGAAGAATATACATTCAATCGTATTTAGTTTGTCTCGAAATCACCTGTGGATTTTCCTCAATTTTTTGTATTACTTTTGTCCGCTTAATTCGTACCTATACGATTTTAAGAAGTAAAAGAAAAAAAAAATCAGTGTATAATCAGAATCTTATATATATAGAACAACATTATTATAAATGCTTGTTTTAAGAAAATGCTGGGGTTTGTACCCATCCTGTTCTTACTAAGTTTAATCATGTTTTGTCTCGTTCTTAATAAGTTTTTTGCGATGTAGTACCTTGTCACGTCATTGTTAGTATAGTAAACATATACTAAAATCGGCCATACTTTTTAACATTTTCAACAATAGACAAATCTTCATGTACTTAGATATTTAGAAAACATACAACATCAACTTATTACATTATGGCAATATTCCATTCCAACCATAAACTGGGATGTACTCGTACCTATTTATAAAGTAAATTAATGCTGCATAAGTATTTATAATTAATCGAGTCAATTGTTTCGTGATAGCTATTGAGATGACTTTCGAATGTGCACCCGGTCAATTTAAAGATATTAAATGTAGTAGTTTAGTATGCTAAAAAATAAACATTGTAATTCCCTGGAAATAAAAAATACAAGTGAAATTCTTTACTAATTCTTAAGTACTTAGTAGAATAAAATTATAAAACAGGACAAGTTGCCTTTTAAAATTATATTTAACTATAATACGTTTTTTTAAATACAATCATATGACATATCTCGCTGATTAGTAGTAATAATACTAATGCTCGTATATGCAATGAACATGTTATTAATTACAGCCGCAACCAATTTCATATAACCCGCAATATCCGGGTCTCAGGTCAAATTTACACAATCTCGGCGACCTCTAATCTCGTTTCTGATAGCTAAAACGTAGTATCTTCGTGTCAGTTCTAAGAAGCGGTATCATATCACTTTGTTTTATTTTGTTCGACGATAGGTAACCTCGTAATCATTTTTGTGTTCATTGGTACAATTTATCTTTACATGTACCATACTTTACCTCTTTATTATTGACAGGAATAGTATCCAACAAAAACATTGATCTATGTAATAATAATAATTCATACCCATATCTTATACATTTTTTATTCCGTAACTGCTATACATAGCTGGTATTAGAAATAAAAAAAAACACCTTTAATGTTTGAGAAATATCAAAATCCATATACCTATATATAGAATTAATCTGAATTATATATCTACCCTTTTAAAAAATTATTACTATTAAAGTCGTAAGGTATAGGTATTAGGAATAAGAGCTAAAATTAGTAATTGTGACAGATTTATGAACAACTTATTTCTATAATAAACATTCTATTCCTATACAAAACTGCTTTTTTAATATAGGTAATGGTTTAGATACATTGAAGACTGTTTACAGCCGTTACGCGCCGCGTTGATACTGGAGATATTAATGCATATTAATTAGTGACTCAATAAAATTTTACATTTATAACATTATTATCA